ATTGGTGCAGTAGGAATCTTACCCTGTACCTCAAGCGACTTCGCATCTCCTTCAGCCTGTCTCGGGCATGGCTCTTGGCCTAGAGGAGAGAAGAAAGAGGGGTGACCAGGCAGGAGGCCATTCCTGGCTCTTTATGGTGTTATACAACTGTCCACTCAGAGATCCTGGCACAGACACACGACTGCATCCCCCTGGAAACCCCCCGCACAGACACACGACTGCAACCCCCTGCGATACCCCAGACCTGGGACCCCCCACAGAGACACGACTGCATCCCCCTGCGATACCCCAGCCCCGGGAATCCCCCGCACCGAGCAACGACTGCATCCCCCTGCGATACCTCTGCCCCCGGGAACTCCCCCCCCCACGGATAAGATCCCCCTGCTATCAGAGCCCAGTGAACGGGGAAGACCGTGTAGCCAGTTGGTGACCTTACGTATTTGTACATGTTCCTGACGGCTGGGTTTGTCTTGCTCTTCATAGTGTGGATCAGGGCCCCTCCGCCTTTCTGGCAAGACAAAGCACAGAGACATTGCTTTGGAGCGACCCCTGTAGGCCCCTGGTGCCTCCTGCAGTCCTTAGCGTGTCTACACTACAGGATTAATCCGAATTTAGATAATTCGAATTTGGGAAACAGGTTGTATAAATTCGATTGTGCGCGGCCACACTAAGCACATTAATTCGGTTTTTAACCACATTAATTCGGTGGTGTGCGGCCACACTACCCCATTACTTTAACCACAGTAATTCGGTGGTGTGCGGCCACACTAACCCTAATTCGAATTAACAAAATCGATTTAGGTGCTACTCCGCTCGTCGAGGTGGAGTACAGAAATCGATTTTAAGTGCCCTTTAATTCGAATTAACTGGCTCTGTAGTGTGGACGGGTGAAGGGTTAATTCGGATTAACGCAGCTAAATCCGAATTAAAGTCGTAGTGTAGACCAGGCCTTTTTTTCCCCCCCTTACACAAGTAACCTGACCTTCCTGCCACTAGAGGGAGCCTGTGGGTGACTACAGTTGCGGCAGGAGTCACCAGGTGGCGCTGTCGCACACAATCTTTCTCTTAGCAGCGTTCAAGACACGCCGCATTGTTGCTAGTTTTGCAATGGTGTTTTTCTCCGGTGGGCGCTGTTGCAAGCAGTGGGGGGTTGCTCTCTTCCACGGTCCTGCTAACTAGAATCAACTGGAGGCCGGTGCTGTGACATGTGGTCTCAGCAGGCGAGCGAACGGTCAGTCATGGGAAGACACACACTGCGCATGGCAGTTAATTTGGGGGCCGTGCTAAGGTCCGGGGAGCGGGAGCTGGGACAGCAGCTGGACAGTTTGCTCCATCTTGGTCTCTGACTGGCATCGATTCTTGAGGCAGCGTTGCACCCTGGGCAGGGAGTTTTGCAATGGGCTGGGATTCCTGAATGAGGGGATCGGCCTGCGTGCAGCTGGTGACACCTCTGTTCCGAGACTGGTGTATAGAGTGTAAATAAACTAGTTGCAAATAGGCCCAGACTCCGTATCACTGATTTCTCCTCCAATTGGAAGCTGGCATGTCAGGTGTTCGGCATCTGCTACCTCTCAAGAGAGAGGCAACCGTAGAACATAATATTGTCAGTGCATCTAAGCCACTGATGGCCCCTAAGGAGAAAGGAAGAACTTAGGGCTTGACCTTCTGTCACGGAGTTGGGGGAGACACCCCCGGCTTCCTGCGATTCACAGCCAGGCAGTAAAACAGAAGGTTTATTAGATGACAGGAACACAGTCCAAGACAGGTCTTGCAGGTACAGACAACAGGAGCCCCTCAGTCAGGTCCATCTTGGGGGGGCCAGGGGAGGCCAGGAGGTCTGTCTGGCCTCCCCTCCATTTTCCCAGCCAGCTCCAAACTGAAACTCTCCAGCCCCTCCTCTCCCTTTGTCTCTTTCCCAGGCCAGGAGGTCACCTGATCTCTTTGTTCTTCAACACCTTTAGTTGGCACCTTTGCAGGGGAGGGACCCAGGCCATGAGTTGCCAGGAGACAGGGTGTCGGCCATTCGCTGTACAGACACCATCACACTGGCCCCCTAGGGCTCTGCAACAATCACACACCCCTAGACACTCGAGAAATGCATTGGGGAAACTGAGGCACCCACAGAGCACTCAGGGAAAACATTAAGAACATTCCCACTTCGTCACATCTCTATCCCACTTCGTCACAGCTTCTCAATCCACTATGGACACTCCAATGACTTCTGTGGAGCCGCTCCTGATTTAACACGAATGGGATCAGAATCAAGCTATTAATTCGGAGGTGGTGTGTTAGGCAGCACGTGTAAATTACACGCCCAGGGGAGTTAATTTACACAGCGCGCAGTAAATTAAAGTAGGAGAGCAGCTACTTTTGGTCACCTCTTCTGTGACTTATTCAGTTCCCAGCCCGCAGGGTCGCGGGGGTTAGATCTTGGCCCCTCTGTTGTCAATGGGTCCGTCCTTTCATGGTGTAAAATGCATCAGTTGAATCTCAAACCTAATTCCCCCTGACATCAATTGCAAAATTCCCCTTGATTTCCAGGGGGGTCTGGATTTGGGCCCAGTTTGACCCATTTACTGACAGGGAACTTAACATGTTGCCTCGGAATAATTTGGCCCTTTGCCGCTAGCCGGCGAACTAGAAGCTGCAGGTAATACTTAATGCAGCTAGGTCGGCATCATCACCATTTTACAGAGGGGGCAAACTGAGGCACAGAAAGGGGCAGTGACTCCCCCCAATCCCCCAGGTTATATTGCAAGTTAGTGGCAGGGTTGAATAGAACCCAGGTGTCCAGGCTCCCGCTCCCACTCCCCTCCCAGAGTTGGGAATGGAACTCAGGAGCACTAAATCCCAGCCCCTCTGCTCTAGCCACTACACCCCACTCCTCTCCCAGAGCTGGGGATAGAACCCAGGAGCCCTGGTTCTCAGTCCTGCACTCACACCACTTCACAAGCCTCTCCAGTGGACCCCACAAGCTGCTACCAAGCCTTGCTACCCCGTACACGGATCAAGCAGGCAGCTCCATACCTTGAGGCTCTCCACCCACAGCTGGTACGACCTCAGGTTACCTGCACGGGGACATGAAAGGGACAGATGTAAATTCCCAGGCCATTAGTGACTCAGGGCCCTAGGTGGGGTCCTTACCCTGCCCCCCCGAGCCTGACCCCCGCCCTGGTGAGGAGGTGAATATTGCCAGGCCGGCCCTACCATCACTGCCAATCCCCGGTGAATTGTGGGGGAACCCTGGGTGGCACCACCGTTAAAGGGTCACATCTGTGGGTGTAACCCACACACCTCCTGGGTGTGGTGTTCTGTCCCATCTAGTGGCACCGAGACCACTTAGAGAGAGAAAATGAGTCTGCTACAGCCTTAGCTAACAGCCAGTGGGCTCTTAGCTCATGCGGTAGAGCAGGGGTTCTCAAACTGGGGGTCGGGACCCCTCAGGGGGTCACGAGGTTATTACATGGGGGGGGGTTGTGAGCTGTCAACCTCCACCCCAAACCCGCTTGCCTCCAGCATTTATAATGGTGTTAAATATATTAAAAAGTGTGTAATTTATTGTGGGGGGGGGGGCGCATTCAGAGGCTTGCTGTGTGAAATGGGTCGCCAGTAAAAAAGTTTGAGACCCCCTGAGGTAGAGGCTCATGCACTAAGCTCCAGAGATCCCTGGTTCGAGCCCACCCGCTGACGGTCGCTATATACGCACTGGGGGCACTGCGCCTCTATTGCTCCCTGGGGGAGGTGCGGTCAGTGGCTGCACCCTCCTTACCCGCCGCCAACCCGCTGTTGGTGATTTCCTGCTCAAACACATCCGAAAAGCCCACGCCGGCGTTCAGCTTCTCCAGGCGCTCGTCGATGAACTGAAAAGTGGGTGGCGCGGGGGAGACGCGGGTGCAAGGGGAGTCGGGGAGAGCGCACAGAGCACATGGAGAAGGGGGAACCATTAGAGGGGAGCATGTGGGGCAGATGGAGAGGGGGGAACCATTAGAAAGGAGCATGGGGGCCAGATGGAGGGGAGAACCATTAGAGGAGAGCACATGGCAGGGACAGTGGGGGGAACCATTAGATGGGAGTACGGGGGGCAGATAGAGAAGGGGAACCATTAGAGAGGAGTACGGGGGGCAGATGGAGAAGGTGGAACCATTAGAGGGGAGCATGGGGGCAGATGGAGAAGGGGAACCATTAGAGGGGAGTACGGGGGGCAGATGGAGAAGGGGAACCATTAGAGAGAAGTACGGGGCAGATGGAGGGGAGAACCATTAGAGGAGAGCACATGGCAGGGACAGTGGGGGGACCATTAGATGGGAGTACGGGGCAGATGGAGAAGGTGGAACCATTAGAGAGAGCACACGGCAGGGGCAGATGGGGGAATGATTAGAGGAGAGCATGGGGGGGCCAGATGGGGGGAACCATTAGAGGGGAGCATGGGGGGGCAGATGGAGGGGGGGAACCATTAGAGGGGAGCATGGGGGGCAGATGGAGAGGGGGAAACCATTAGAGGGGAGCATGGGGGGCAGATGGAGAGGGGGGAACCATTAGAGGGGAGCATGGGGGGCAGATGGAGAGGGGGAAACCATTAGAGGGGACATTACAGGGAGCGCACATGATACAGTGGGAGCATAAATTATTATGGGGGCCATGGGGGGAGAGAGCGGCCATTCGTTAATGGCTTTTGTGGTGATGTGACACCTTAAAGCCCTAGAAAATATGACCCGGGATGGGGTGGCCCAACCAACCCCCCATCCCAGGCCCCCTCCGCCCCCCAAACTCTCCTAGATGCACCCCTCACCCCTCCAGGAGAGAAGGTCACACACATGGGGAGGGGGCTGGGCACATCATTCCCACTGGACGGGGGCTGCCAATGTACCTGGGGGTCTCAGGTCCAGGCCTCAGAATTCCTGGGCCCCCCACCCCCAGGCCGAGGCTCCCCCCTTTACCTGTTTGAAGAGCTGCAGGTGCACGGCGTTGTGCAGGAACTCCCGCATGGTGCTGGACTTGTGGTTGAGGAAGGACTCTTGGCAGAACGAGATGGGCTGGCCCTGGGGGAGGAGGGCACAAAGAGGGTGAATGGGAGGGGGGAGGTTGGGGCCCAGCTCAGAGACACCGGCTCTGTGCCCCGCTCGGGGGAGGGGGGGAGGGAGGTCTGGAGTGGGGCCCCAGACCGGGAAAGCCAGGTTGCTCTAGGCACCAGGGATTGGCAGCTAGCCCAAAGCACCTAAGGGCTAGCGCCTCCCCCTGCACAGAGAAACCCACAGCGGCCACTGGATTTCCAGGGACTCCTCCGCGGGAGGGGGGCATTAGAGCGACACAGAGTAGGGAGGGTTTGGGGGTTTCCCCTACCGATCCTGGGGATCCCTGAGCAAGGAAACCCCCCAACGGGGAGAAGACAGACACTTAGAAGGCTGATTGCTCTATGCTACTCTGCCGGCCTCCCCGCCCATGGCAGCACGGCTGCTTACAGGTGTGCAGACACTCGCATGGTGGGGCCTGGAAAAAAGGGGGAACTCATGGGCTGCCATACAGAGAAGGGGGAACCCTTGGAGGGGAACACATGGGACACGGACCATCTTCTTGTTCGGTGTCTGTACAGCACCTGGCACAATGGGGTCCTGCCCTTGACTGGAATTTCCTGGTGCTACCGTGATACACCTAATATACAGCAACTAGCACAACGGGGTCCTGGCCCAGGACTGGGGGTCCCAGATACCAATAATAAATGTCTAGCCACAAGGGGGAGACATTGAGCCCCCGACTCTATCCTATCTTATGCTTCATGTTCTCCCGCCCTGTGAGCTGCCCTCAATGGGCGGGGAGGGAAGCCAGCCTCACCGGGGTGCAAAGCAGCGCGTCGCGGTAGCCGCCGAAGAGCAGTGCCTGGGCTCGGAGGAAGGCTCGGGCCACCCCGTCGCCAGTGGTGGCCGACTGCTTCTTCAGCTGGAGCTTCAGCAGAGACACCTGGGAGAGGAGGGACCCACGTGAGCGAGGTTGGGGAGGGGCAGCTGTGTGGTCCAGGCCCTAGACCCCAGGGGGCTTTGGGGTACACTCAGGCCGAGATGGACCCCTGGATTAGATGGGAGAGTCCATGAGAGCGGGGAGGGAGGGAGATCCCACAGCGTCCGGCAGATCACGCTCCTCCCATCTCCTGGGGTCCCTCTGGAAAGGGACGGAAGGATCTGTCCATGGGATCTCCAGAGATCACGTTGCCACTAGAGAAGGAAGCCGACTTCCATCTCTGGCTGGGGAACCTTCCTCACGCAGCCAAAGGGCGTCGTCTGCACTGGGGCTGAGATCTCCGGGCTGCCAAGCCACGAGATGCCGGGGGGAGTGGAGAGACCCCCCCATACCCAGGGTGTTAGGAGGGGGCATAGAACAGGAGAGAAGGGGGCTCTGGGGAGATCCAGGCCACAGGGTGACAGCTTTGGATGCAGCCCAGCGTGGGGCCTGCCAAGGATCATGGAGGTTGAATGTGGGGGTCCCCTCCAGGGCGGGGGCAGGAGCAGGGGGAGGGTTTCACCCAGCTGCTTGTGCTGGAGACAGGGGACGGCAGCAGGGGACGGGTGGGGACTGACCACGTCACTCGGGAGATTCTCCAGGTCCTGGAAGGGCGACTCCAGCGTGTTGGTGTCGATGTTGATAATCACGACGTCCTCCAGGGCCTTGTCCCGCACCCTCTGCCAGGAGAGGACACATCCAGAAGGGAAGGGGCTGGAGCTGGAGCCGGCCTCGGCGCTCAGCACCTCCCCACCAGGCAGCCAGGCTCGCCGTCCACCGGCGACCTCAGGCCACCAGGACGGCCCTTCCCCCAGGGGAACCCGCTCCGGCAGGCAACCCACAAGGGGCACCCGGCTTCGCTCCAGCTCCGGGACCCCCAGCCGCTCCTTGCGGATGGCAGCTTTGACACGAGATCCAAATTAAACATCCAGGGGATCGGACTCACCCCCTGTGCAAAGGCTGAGTAAATCCCCCCCATGAAGCTGTGGGACCCCTTTCTCCACACAAGCCCGCCCCCCTCCCCCAGTCCCCGATCTCCTCCTGGGAACGGATGGAGATCCCCCCTGCATCCTGGGGGTTCCCCCGCATTCAGGCTTCCCGCAGCCCTGGGACTCACCCCCCTTCCCAGCCTGCAGTGCAGGCTGCACTCCCCAGGGGGCGCCGGGGAGGGGCAGGACTCACCTCCATGAGGCTGGAGTGGACACCGATGAGGTAGGGCATAGGGGCGCTGCGGGAAGGGAGGGAGGCTGATGAGACGCAGACAAATGAAGCATAAACTGCCCAGCCCCGGTAGCACCTTTGCCTCAAAGCAGAGACTATAGGGATTAATGCACGAGATCAGCCCCCCAAAACTCGCTCCCTATAGCACAGTGCCCCCAAGC